GAATCACGTTAGACTACTTTTAAGGCCTAAAAATCAAAGAATCTCACCTGCAACAACGATCCAAGTTCGGCCAACTTTGAAACTAAGCTTTCCCGACGTCCAAATTCACCCAACGAAGCATTCCCAAGCTCCTTGAGGTCTCTCTAACACAACTACAAGCTTAAAAAGCCCAAAAACACAATGTATAAAACTTGCATGAACAGTACTCAATTCGGCTATTGTTGAATCGACGTGAAAACGAAGTATTCCTCACCTGAAAATGGTATGGTTGAGCTCGCCTCGACCTTACGAGTTGAATGGTGTAGCTGGTTTCCACGATCTGTTAGGATTGTGTGGGTTGTGGGTTTGTCCGTACGTTTTCAAAGGGAAGGAGGAGAAATGGAGCTCGGGGGAGAGAGAGAGAGGAGAGTCAGAGGGAGAGAGAGATAGCAAGTGTGAATGTGTGTGTGTGTGACCCCCACAACTGTCCACACCACACAAAACACCAAAAACCTAATAGAACAAACTAGGGGTAAAATGGTCATTTCACACGTACGGTTCGATCGTTTCGGGACGGGATGTCACAATTTCTCACCCCCATTATGCTTTTATTTATTGATAAGAGACTGAGAATTTTACTACTCAAGAAATACAATTACAACTAAGAAACTATCTAAAAGATATTACACAATTCTCTACGTAATTTGCTAGGATTTATACAATCACTTCCCTAATGAATCTATGATTGTAACTATGACAGCCCGTCCCGAATTATTCGTACCGTAGGTGTGAAATGACGATTTTGCCCTTGGTGGGTATTTGTCATTTTGGGTGATTGTTTTGTGGTTTTGTTGGTTGCATCTGGACCACACACTATGATCCTCATCATCCTTCCCCGTATCCCTCTCTGTCTCGAACTCCCTCTCTCTCTCTTCTTCTCCCTTTGTATGGATGAGACCTAAATCCCTTGCAAACGTCACAGATCGACGTGGAAATTAATACCTTGGTGTTCATGAGGATCATACGAGTTCAACCATACCAATTTCAGGTAAGGAATCCTTTGATTTCACGTTGAACCAGGAATCTCCGATTTGGTCATTGTTCATGCACACGTGAATTATTGACTTTCAGGGAATTTGAAGCTTATAGGAAGCTTAGTAAGGTCCTTAGGAAGCTCGGGGTGGTTCGTTGGAAGGAATTGGACGTCGGGATCGTGAGTTACAAGTTTGGCCGATTTTTCTTGAATTTCTCCAGCGACATCTCGTGATCTTTGAGGTTTCAAACAGGTATAACGTTGTTCTACTCATCTCTAGCTTTCCATTGGTGCAAATTTCATAGAAATTGGTGAAGAAACGAGTGAGAACGAAGGGTTTAAAGTTTTTCCAGGTTTCCAGCGACCGGCAATTCGCCGGAGAAGAAGACAGTATATTCCATCAGTTTTGGACGGAATATGCTGAAGCCATCAGTCAGTTTTGACGGAATATGTTAGGGTTTAACAGAATATTCCTGATGGCGTTAACTGATGCCGTCAGTGTGCCTAGCACGTGGACGCGTGTGGGGGGCGCGTAGGTTGGTGCACTCGCCGGCACGTGGGGCATCGAAAAATTATTTTAAAAATATGGGGATGTTCTTGAGGTTGAGTAGATCACGGTTGTATATCCAAATATCCCACTTGAGCATTGTATAAGAAGTTATAACCTAGTTTTGGTTATGTAGGCGAGACCCATCCTAAGGACGAGCGCAGTCACTCAAGGCAAGGGGGTTACGACCCTTCCACATATCGATGAGTGGGCTTTTGGTTTTCCGTATATACCTATATACTTGTGGGTTTTCCCAGAAAATGAAATTGAACGTTTATATGTCTTAAATGCCATGCATAGCGTTTGCCTATTTATTTATGCATTAGTAGTTGCATATATGTATGTTTGGTGCTGCGGACGCACATGTAAGTGCCAGGTAAGTTTATGGTTTATGGTCGTGAATTAGTGGTTATGTGAGATGCATAGAGAGCTCATAACCTGCACCCCCGATGTTAGTGCTCCAGCCCAAAGTAGGGCACAGTCCTTCACGTGATGTTCACCTCCCGCACCACACGCTCATCTTGGATCCAAGTTAGGTGCATAGTCCTGTCGTACAGACCACTATAGGTGGTTCCAACTCGTAGGTGACCCGCGATTATTCGCCTAGTCTTCAAGTGATCGTAGCACTAGAGCGTATTTATTTACACCCAGTCCTGTCATACAGACCACATTAGGTGGTTTCGACTCGTGTGTAGGTATAGTTAGTGAGTTGGGGATTTGAGCTCTAGATTCAGCCGTACAAGTGACGTTTGGTGACTCAGCTGACATATTACTTGCATTGATTGACATTACCTGGGTTACTTACCTTTTATGTGGAGGCATTCGACATGGCATATTTCTGAACATGTTTTCGATATATGTGTATATTCTATTTTCTGGGAAACTATACAGGTTTTACGGCGAGGGGTTAGAACTTTTGATAATGAAATGATTTTGAAAAGCTTTGTTTTTGCCCACTCACACTTTTGGTTTTGCGCCCCTCCAGGTTCTAGTTAGAAGCAGCTTTGGTGGTTCACGAGGATTTGACGGTGGTTCTGACAGAAAATCACAAATGTAAGCTCACCTTTGGTGGTTCACGAGGATTTGACGGTGGCTCTTCTGCACTTAGGTTTTCTGTGCTCTGATTATGTTTATCCCACTTAGTCTCACACTAGTGTGTTACTTTACCCAGTTTATTTAGTAGTTTGGTTTTTATTTATTCGTACTTTTATTATTATCTTTTGCTTCCGCACTGTGCACATGGCTACGTCACCCTCACGTGACGGTCAACACGCCTTGATTCCGATCGGGGTGTGTCAGTAACATTCTCTCTTTAGTGTGTAAATACTCAGACAAATGTCACATCAAGTCTTTAGTGATGAAGTAAGAACAGTTGATGGAGTCGATGACACATTGAGCGAATACGAATCTCAAAATAAACAGAATAATGCATAAGTAATAAAACTCACAAAACCTCGCTATGGTAAAACTCAAGGTATGATAAATACCTATTGAAGGAAAATATTTAATAAACTTAGTTCATTAAGCAACCTAATACATGCATTTAACGATTAAATGGCAGAAGCATGCTTGTATGCACTTTAAAACAAAACTTAAACCATGAAATTCAAAGCCTAGTACAAAGATTGGTGTACCATATGAATGATGTGTACATGTTATGTTAATTAATGAATTTATCTCATTGGAAGTTGATTGTATTCATCACTTGCCAGTACACCTCCACATACATGTACAAGAAAGAATATTGTAATTAAGCTCCTGAGATTGAACAGTTTCAATGGATCAAAGTAAGAACCGTGTATGGGAATAGTAAAGTGATAGGTGCATTATTTATCATATTTTCATGTTAATAATCCCTAAGTTTTGTTAAGGAATTGATTATAAATGAGCCTTATTACTTTCCTTTTCTCAGTTTCAGCCAATCTGTGCATATTTAGGACGTTTTTGGTGATAATTCAACTTTTTGGAGGAGTTTTGATGCAAGGCCAAATGGAGAAGGAAGCCAAGAGGCTGAAGATTGTTGTATCTAAATTTCATAATTTTCCATGAAGCCATTCATTCCAGTTTCACGAATCAATCCTGCAAAAGTTGTTTTCCCATCAGAATTGCACAACTATGGGAGAATGAAAATTTGAAGGCTTTCCCAATTTTTCCTAGTGGCGTGCGATATATTCCTGGAAACATAGGAGATAAAACTATGTTTCTCATATTTTTATAGAATTTTCTAGAAGATAAATCCCCAAAACTGACTTGCAAGACATATGACGTGTTTCCTAAGCCAAGAAGGATTCTTTCCTAGTTTGTGTCATTAATTGTTTAGGAGTTTGTTTTATTTTAGGAGAGTTTCTCCCAGACTTTTTAGGGTTTTCTAGTATAAATGAGGTCCCTAAGCTCTCTCTTAGATCCATCCATCCACCCTCGTATACCCATATTACTACACCATAATACACCATTCACCATCTCCACAATAAGTGAAGAAGAGCTTAGGGACGTGCTTTGCCATGGATTCCAGGTTCTATCTTTCTTTTATTTTTATTTCTATGTGTAACTAAGTTATTTTCTAAGGTTTATGATGAAGCCATGACATGAATATTTGCGAAGTACTTTGTTAATCATTATCTGATTATATGCCATGCTATATTCTTAATCTTTGTGAGTATTTTATTCTAGGTTCGAATTTCTAATGACTGATCACCTTTAGGAATTTTGCATCTAAATATTTAGATAAATCTATGAGGATGACCAATCAATTAGGTTTATTGGAACTAAGATTAAGAAGAGTAGACAAACTAGTGAGGATGACCAATATCAAGCTAGTCCTACTTGGTTGACATGATTCTTCTACACTTAATGGGTTTTTATGTGTTTAATTGTATGCCTAATCAATAGGATATAATTATCATGTAGAAATACAAGAGTTGATATCTAACCACGGATTAATTTATTCCTTAGAAAGAACAACCTTTAACATTGGCATGGTAATTGGATAATAGTTGGCTATAGGAAAAGTAAATATGATTGTTATTGGTGGATTCATAACCTTAGGCTTTCTTGTGTCATGTGTTTGTTTTTGTTAATTGTCTTTTCTTTTTCTTGTTAATTTTAGTCTTAGTCAATTACTCAATTACTCAATTATTCAATTCAATCTATCCTTTATTTGTTTAATTAAGTCTAGCGTGATTAATCATTAAATTGGTGTTAAAACAATCCCTGTGGGATCAACCTCGTATTTGCATATATTATTACAATTGATTCGTGCGCTTGCAAGTTTAATTTTGTTTAAATTAATCTATTATTTAGGTTAGTTTAAATATACATCATAAAGCATGCATAAAGTAAAAAACAGATGGATTGGCAATCCAAAACCAGGTTATCCCATCTTAATTAATTATAATATGAGGGTACTTGGCAATGCAAACATACACGTATAAATCTCGCTAGCTAGAAAACAGTCTCATTATTTTCTTCATGTGGGGAGGGAGAAGGGATAGGGGCCTCAACTTTTGCAACCAAAGCACACATATTCCAGATGTCCACGCTTCTCAAAAGAAGCATGATCTCATTCGCTTTGAAGGCTGCAGGGTGGTTATTTATTATATTAGCTACCAAACCAACGTGGCAGCGAAGTCCTAACCCCACAAGATTCCAGCAGAAATGGTCACTGATAGGGCTAGTTTGGTTCCAAAAGATATCAGTGAAAATTGCTTCCCCACAATCCCCTGTTAGTCGAACAGCACATGCTTCCAAGAAGTTAGACTGATCCGAGTCCCGACCGGGCAGTGGCTCCGGTGGAAATTCCTTGACGATTATCGGGGCCTCTTCCGGAGCCATATCAGGATCATAATTAGACTTGTAATAAGGTGGTGAGATGTCTCAAGATGCAAGTACAGCCGCCGGTGAAAGCAAGCCTAATAAGAAGGTGGTAATAACCATGAGCAAGATGCTGCTGATATAATTTGACATGAAACTGGAATAAATTGTTGACTGCAGAACTATAGTACTGTGGTTGGAACTTGGAATGGCATAGGGTAGATGGTAAGAAAGCTTTTTGTAAGAGAGATGTAAACCTGAACTAACGGTTCGAAATTATGCTTAGTAAAACCGTTTTGCATTCAATTTTGTTTGACCATTTTAATACCTAGCCAGCCTATTCTTAAATATTTATTTCCTTACTAATTAATAAGAGATGCATAAATAGATTTACCCTAATGGATATGCTTCTTTAGAATGATGCTATGTCTACTTCATTATCCTATTTTTCCACTCACCTTATATTTTCATCTTAACTAAAACTAAAAAGAGAACAAAGTTATTTTCACACTCACCATTATTCTTAAAATAGCCTTAGCAATCCAATATTGTTTTTGAATCCACCAACTATTCCCTTCATTAAATTCAATGTTGAAGAATTTATTGGTAAGTTGATCGTTTCTCAATTTCCCAACCTTTTAGATCTTTGAACTAAGCCTTCGAGCATCTAATTAAAACAAACAATAACCAAATACAATTAATCTTTTGCTGTATGAAGACCTACTTTAGTAAGTTTTTTTTTTATGGTTTATTAAACTCTTACCCTCTGTCTCCTTCGTCAATTTTGTCGATCAAATAGAAAAACCCATTTGAAGAGTACCTAAACTGGTATTCCTCCTACTGTAGTATGTCGACAAACCCAAAGTTTTAATTTGTTCTACTTTTCTCACTATTTGCGTCTATACCAGGAATCATTTCTTAAGTTCAAAGAAATGCATAATATATTTGCAAAATGGAACTTCTCTTCAATATTAGATGTGATATGGGTTGCAAATACCGAAAGGAAGCAACAACTTAAATCTTGGATCTTTAGCTTGGTTTTGATTTGGGTTGTGAGGAGCAACGCTGCGCTTGAGACTTGCTGAGATAGAGACAGGGCTGCCTACATCACTTCAATTCCCAAACAAAAAAACTTTCCTTACATTTTGCTTATGTCTTTCTATGTAATTTTGCAACAGAATAAACTTGTCATTAAAACTTTCATTAAAAAATGGGTGGGATAATAAGATAATGGGATGGGCATAGTAGCACTCTTTTTCGATTTGATATAACAATATATTTGACCTAAAAAGTGAGAAATTAAATTAGAATCGAACTCATTATTAACAAGATTCGAATCTAAAACCTTACTGATAAACGAAAAAGAGTAATACTTGACCTTGTATTAAGTGGCATACAAACGAATATGTTCAACATATGGGTTTGAAGTCGATAATGAAAAATATTCTGCAAACATAATGATTAAAAATGAATTTGAAGCCATGATGGAGAGATTTTTCAGAGTGACCAGCATACGAGATGATACATTACATGTCACTATACAAATGATGGAATATGTGCGTTAAAAAGTTAACAACCTAAAAATTAAAATTTTTCACTGTTTACATAAAAACACGTGGTACATCACTCGAATTTTTGTCACAATCGAAAATTTCTTGCCATAATGTACCAATGCATGGCAAACATAATAATTAAAAATCAAGAACCTACGGAAGAAGAAGAAGAAACGAAAAAAAAAAAAAAAAAACATGGAGACACAACACAACATTCAGCCTTACAAGTACAACTCGCAAATACCAAGCCCACTAAAAAATGGAAGGGAAACTGTTGAGAGTTTTCATAGAATGGGTACCCCGATTTTTACCAACATGGCAAGAATTGGTAATCATGTATGTTTGTGTTTGAGCCTAAAATCTGGGATTTGGGGCCGAGAAGAAATAAATCAAGAAGGAGGCCTACGACTCTCGGTTCAATGGTAATTATCCCATCCCATTAGCAATCTCAACCCAAAAAAGGAACTTTAGTGTTGCAACCAAGCCTTAATGGATTTAGGAGTGTTAATGGACCATATTTTGATTCGGCCCAATCCTTAAAGTTAGGACTCTTGAAAGTTTGGACAGTAGATCAGTTACAAAATTGACTTTCTGGAGATGCCCATCCTTTCAGCCGCGCCTAAATAGGATGTCATCTTCTTCTCCATTATCTACCAAAACCCGACCTACTATGGCTTCAGAGATTTGCAACTTGACAACAAGAGTGCCATTAAAGGGAAAGTGGATAGTTTCTAGTTTGGAGATCGCGGGGATCTTGGGTTGATTTTGTAACAACCCGTCCCGATATTTATTTGCAGATTTTTGGAACGAGGGTATTTTGGTAATTTCACCTTGTGGGCTAGATATTTTTTAGATGGGATTACTTTTGGTCTTAATGTGTGTACCCAGTGGGGCCCACTTGTTTTGGATTGTCTCCCCTTAGCCCAATCTCTCCTCCTTTCTTTTTGTCTCATTCCTATCCCTCTCCCTCTCGGACCTCACTCTCTCCATCTCTCTCCTTCGTTGTGTCCCTTTGCCCCAAGCGCCACACTCACACACACTTACACCCATTCCCTCTGACGACAACACCACCACCATTACCCTCAATATTTGCTCTCTCTCTCCTCCCCTTCTTTGTGAAGCACAAAGACACCCATCAATGGAACTTAGCACACCCACCCCCTGACAAGGTTCCACGCTTCCCGACCACGACTAGACCTTAAAATGGTATGTTTCTCTTCCCCTCCCTCGTAGCTTCATTCCCATGGTTTAATCGTCGAGTATAATGTAGAATTGAGGTCGATTGGAGCTTAGGAAGCTCTGGCTCCTTCCTACTTCGCGAATTTGGCCTAAAAACTGGATCAACCAAACCCATGGAACTCGGTCCTAGCCTTTGGGCCGTGTAAGCCTGGCCCAAACCCAAATGGCCATAGCCCAATAACCAAGCCCAACCCAGAACCTGGATCCGGCCTAACCCAGTCGGATCCCAAACCCCTGGCCAGCGTGTGGGACTGAGCATAGGTGTCTGCCTTGGTTGGCGCGTGGAGCACAAGCGCCTCCACTGGAGGTACTGTGCTTCGCCGCAGTCCACGGCAGCGTCGGCAACTTTTCCGACCAACTTTCCGGCGACCTAAATCGACGCGTGGGGGGTACCGGAACTACGATTAAGATAGACAGATATATATATATATATATATTAGAAATATTATGTTAATGTTTTTATGTACTTATTTAGTGGTTATTCATACGATCTGCCTACGGATGAATGTCCTGCCTACGGGCGAATGATACTTTTACATTGGCTTCGATCGGCTGCTATAGGAGCCTACGGGCGATTGATATTTATATTGGCCTTGGCTAGACGTAGGTTGGTGGCTTCGGCTGGGAGATGTAGTGCCTTTAGGCGAATGAATATATATATATATATATATATATATATATGCCTTGTGCTACCACTACGAAGCAACCTATGTACGATATATGTTTTATGAAAGGTTTTATGGCATGTTAGGGTTTTCAGAAAAACCTATTACTTATTATGCTATACAAGTTTTCTAAACCTAGGGGTTAGTACATTAAAGATTAATTGTTTAGTACGTTAAAGATTAACTGTTTTAGTATTACTTATATATCAACTTGGTCTGCTCATGTTTTGTTTTGTGTCCCCTCAGGACTTAGATTCGAGGCGTACAATCCCGACATCAAGGCACACCCACATCGACATCTTTGAGTCATCTCGGTGTAGGACCCATCCTTTTGTTCATTCAATTTTATATTATTCCCTTTTAGTGTTTGAGTTTAGTTGTATGCTCTAAACACTTTCCATAATTGCATATTCATTATAATTAAATTTACAAGTTTTATTTACGTCGGTTAATTGTTTTTAGTTCTCATGCATCCTAATATGGCTTCGTCACTTTCGAGTGTCACCCAGCACATCCCTAACTTGGTGTTTGGAGAATATCAGGGTTGGGCATGTCAAATTTCCTTTTTGTGTAATCTTTTCCCTTTTGTGTCTCTTGGAAGCATTCCTGCCTCCCTCCTATGTGATTAACGCTGGGGAACAATCTCCCTCCTGGATACCGGATAGGGGGTAGACCTTGGGTCTTCTATGACTGTGATTTCCCATGGCATACCTTTGGAACGAGTTCTTGCACTAGCCTGCCTGGATTTGGACCTGTCATCTTTAGGGGGCGCTTGAGCGTTGGAGTTTGCGAAACGGACGATGGTGTCTTCAATAGTTCTCATCATTTCCTCTAGTTTGGTGAGTCTTGCATGTTCCTTGGCTCATAGATTATTTCGGAGATCCTTCACTGATGTGTGTATCTTGAGTACGACACCCCAGACCTGATCCATAAAATTGGCATCTTCTTTGTTCAGGTCTGTGGCTTGACCATAATGTAATTTAAGGTCAACATTTTGACGTTTCTTGTGGAACCAAGTGTTAAAACTACAAAGTTCATGACCAAATTGTTGGATTTATTCAACATAAATCAACCATAAATGGTCTACTATATGTAATAGGAATGTATAAGTTGGAGATCAGTTAAATTGCAATTTGATTTCCTTATATCAACCCTACATTAAGTGTCTTACATTATAAGTAGGTTTTGATTGAATCCTTAATAATATATGATTATGATATTTTAATTGAGAGCCAAGAAAGGAGAGTTTTAGTTTTCCCATATGGACGGAATCTAAGACTTTTTGGCTAATACATATATATATATATATATATATATATATATATATATATAAACACCGGTCCCTACTAACCCTAGACACGACAACTAAGGCTTCCCATAGAGCATTGTCATAAAGCTAGGAGTTTGTAGAAGAGTTGGTGTTCTTTTCAATCACGGCAATCTCATCAGAATTGGTGTTCTTCTAGTCACGTAGAAGTGCTTCATATCAGTTCTTTATAATCGTGTGTGTGTGTGTGTGTGTGTGTGAATATATATATATATATATATGTATATATTGTGTTTT